GGGGCAGGGGATGCGCCGCCACATGGCGCCGCCAGAATCTTCAAACCCCCTCCCCTGCGGCCGCCACGTGTCCGCGAATGCACACGTCCGCGGGCTTCTCGGCCTAGCCGCGGCCGCGGACTTGGCCGCGCCTGTCCGCCGCCGGGGGGGATTCGTTGTGTTGTGGCGACGGTATACGTGTGTCGAATGTCGATCACCACAAACTTCAAAAGGTCCACGAAATCCAACTTCCTCCTGTGGTCTGCTCCCGTAGTCAATCCGAACGATGCACCCCTCCCTCTGCTATTAACTCTGACGAAATGGCGGCCCTTCGTGCTATGGTAGTCCAGTAGCCATTCCACTGCGAGAACAATGTCCCTGTGTGGTAGTTGACAGAACATGTCCTTAATGTCATAGGACCGCACCGTGACGTTAGTATGGTGGTGCCCCGTCCGTCTGATCCTACCATTAATCTTTTTCAGTCTTGTCGTCAATTGGGATACCGCTGGGAGGTTAAAATTGCTATCCACAGGCATACGGGCGAGCAAAAAGTTAAGTCCTCTGGCTACAGTTTGACCAGTGTGAACCATACGTTCGCAGAAGGTAGGGCAAATGGGGCCAAATCTGGTCAAATCTTTATGTTTAGGAATGACATATGATGTCGTTCCTAATTTGCCCTTATTATCCCATCTGACAAATTTATGTAATCCTGCCCTCTTCATATCCTCCTTGACTTCACGAAGCAAAACAGCCTCGGATACCGTCATCATCGTATAGCCTGGATTTCGGACGAAAGTGCTCATCATGGCTTCATAGTATATACTAGGACACATGACGACCGTCTCGCCCTGATTGCGATCAAGTGGAGCACACACTAATCCATCGAACCGGTCTTTCAATCTTACCAGATCTTGTACGGACAGACGTGAATCATCGACACTACTGACGTGCAGACAACGTTCTAGTCGTTCCAAGGGAACACTAGGTAGGTGACCCCGAAAATTTCTCCAATCTCAAAATCCTTGCTCTACTTTCGTTCGAAGGTGAAGCAATCGATCCGACTTATGTGAACGAGGGATGTTATTTGCATTAGCCAGTAATGGTTGATCAACCATATCTTTCCTCAAGCGAAACAACACATGTCCATCCACACGATGATAGGGTAGACCCGCACATTGACAGGTCAGCACACTTCGCGATGCGAACGTCCGATGGTTGTGCAGAAGTTCACCAACAGTCCGGTTTTTCTTCCAGGCTATCTGAACTTTCTTCCGTGCCCGACGCATGAAGTAGGTAGGTAACTCACAGTTGACCAATACATCATTAACTACCTTACGTAGTTCGCAGGTACTAATTCTGTCGTCAAACACTACTTTGACCAGTAGATCCGGGCTCAGACTAAGATCGTACTGATCAAGAAAAACACGTGAAATGAGACGTCGCAAATACTTCCTGGTCGACTTCTTTGAAAAGTCCTTAATAGCATTGTACAGGCGTAATCGGGATCGCATGTCCCATCCGTAAATTACAGCAATATCACCAGGCCTTTTCAAGCATGAGATCAGGAAACATTTAAGAAAGCCACATTTAGGTTTCCAAGAGACAGCATAGACAACAACAATACGACCACCAGATTCAAACCATGATTTACAATCCTTCAACAGACCGGATTCCGAACCACGTGATAGCTTAGTCCGACCAAACTTGCGAGCAATGGCTTTCCATTTAGTCTGCCATACATTACCGCCGCTGCAAAGGATATCAAAATTAACAACACCCTTAGACACCTCATCATTCAGGATCACATACAAATCCAAACGCCAGACGTCACGTTCACCAGTCCGAAAACGAATAGGAGCAATGATACGTTGCTTCTCTCGATCCTGTCGATACCTCCTGATCCTTTCCTTTTTACCGCCCGACTTAGCTTTCACCTTACGATGTTTCCCGGATCCTACACCCGACGTATTTAAGTAAGGCGACCATTGACGAATATAAACACTCTCGAGCTTCGTCAACTCGTCATTGACACTTGTGTCCACCGGTATTAGTACGTAGCTATCGACGCCGAAGCAACCTAGCCATCTATAAAAGTGATTAGGTGAGCGCTTACGATAGGCGTACAAGTGTTCCCGCCAACGAACATCCAAGCGTCTCGACGAATTTCCTACATATTGTAATTTGCAGTAGGGAAAGACAGCTATGTACACACACGAAGACAAGTTAATGAACTCTGTGCCAAATAGATCATACAGTCGAATCCATGCTGCCACGCATTTACGAGTCCAACACAGAACATTACATAACGACAGACTGACAATGGCTAGTCGAAGTAGTTCCTCCACTCTAGAATCCACAACATCTAGTAGACCACGAATCTTGGTTAGGCAGTTCACAATAGCCCACAAGTCGGCAATACTGAAGCCGCATCAAGTGCTGGATGCTTCTTCCTGCTCGTTGGTAGCGTCCTTGATATTACCTGTTTCCGAAGTTTCATCGTCCTCGCTATCTGAGCCATACGCCACGTGCGTGCGATGAGCGACAATATCGAAAATAGACTCGAATTTGCCGTTGTATGCATTACCCTCCTCCTTACAGATATTCGACAAAACTAGAGCGTCAAGATTCTTGAGGTCATTCATGACCTTCTTCTCGAAACGCAGCTTGTCGACAACCTCGATAGCGGTTGGGGTCTTCTTTCGGATAGATGGTGGAGTCTTCTTGGGTGTCGGCGTCTTCAAGGCCTTGCAACGTGCTTGAGTCAGTCGTCCGGTCCGCCTGGGAGTGCGTTTCAGAGGCAGCTCCATGGGAGGGCTTCCCTCGAGTGTCGGCTCCTCTTTTTCGCTTCTCCGTGATCGAACCCCGACCCCAAGAGATCATGCAGCTCCCCTGCTAATCGGATCCTCCACTCCTGCACGCTGCAACGCATTAGGGTCGAGTGGCCCAGGTGTAATCTCCCCCTCCTCCATATATGCTCTGGCGTGGTCCTAAAGGTCAGGTGGTATATCGCCCTCCTCCTCCTCATCGGCACCGCCTCCTCCCTCGACATGCTCTGACGGAACGTCGTGCGCCACCGATGAAGGATGCCACAACACTAACCCCAAAGACATACTGCCTCCGACCTCCTCCGGATCATCAGCCTGTAGGTCCATGTCGTCACCCTCAATGGGGCCGTGTGACAATCGACCTGGACCGACACTAGGCGACAGTGAAAGTCGCCCCGCAGTATCCGCCCCATCATCAGCCTCCACACCGGGTCCACACCCTCCGTCCCCATGCTCGTCAGAATCACCCTTCATACGAATTGCCTCCTCAGTCCGTACATCATCGGGCTGCAACGTGTCTGCCGCACGAAATCCAAGTACGACGTCGGACACGACAGGATCTCCATGCTCTGGCACGTTCGGATCACCGTGCCCCTCAGTCTGTGCAAGATCAGGTGCGAATGGATCGTGATGCTCCACCCCGCCCGGATCAGGTAGTGCAGCACCGGTCTCCAAATCCCGAGCACGCTGCTGCTCCGCCATGTACACGGCTTTACCCGCCCAGTCTCTCTGCAACACCTCCAACCACTGCTCCTCCTCTCGATCCAAGCGGGCATGGAGCTCCTCGGTCGACTCCGGTACACCAGCCTCCGTAGGACGATACTCGACGTCATCCCCCACTCTCTCTCTCTTGTGGCCCCGTCCTGGAAAACCGGTGTCAGAAAGTTTGTGTCTGAGTCCAGGAAAGTCACTCGTGCGTAGGTCCGTCTGCTCCCTGTCCCCTGGAGGTGCCGAGGCGGGTGTGTGCTGGCTCAACATATGATCATCGGCTGTAATGTCATCCAGGTGGTCGAACACCTCGCGTCTGACGCCCGTGGACGAGTCGGTCTGCGTCTGCAACCGCAGTGATCTCCTAAGACCCTCGGTGGCAGGCGGAGCTCTGTCGCTCGCCATGCGTGCTCTGTGAAAGACCAATGGCACGTCGTCATCGTTGTCGTCGTCATCCGTGCAGGCCGGCCTTGCGTGCTCCCTCTCTCTCTCAGCAGTGGACTGAGCAGGTAATGCAGTACGTCCTCCCTCGTCGTGTGTGGCCCCTCCACTAGGCTCGCCTGTAACACCTCCACTCGCGCCTCGTGCAGCACGTCTCGTCGGCCCACCAGTACCACCCCCACTAGGGGGAAAGGAATCGTCGTCGCTCTCTTGAATGACGGTGCAGTGTGGCTGAGAATCGTCCGGTTCTGCACCGTATGTGTAGTAGAGTCTCTCGACACTCTTATCTACACCGGGCGGCAAATCCTCCGAGTCGGACTCCTGCTCCGACGTATCCGCCGGCTCTGCTGGCGGTGGGGGCACATAGTCGTAAGGATGAAGTGTCTCGACTCTGGGACCGAAAACCTCAGCAACTCGCTCCGGACGACGAGAACCTTGCTGCTGGAATCGACGAACCTGTGCACTAACCTCGTGTGCGGGCACTGCCGACTAAGGTCAGGCTCCCCACTCCTCTGGCTCAGACTCCTCCTCATCATCCCTGTCGTCGATCGGGGGGGGTATGTACTCGTCAGGGCGCGCCTCAGCGAGGGTCGCCATGTGGCCCCACGAAAGAACGTACCCCCGCTATCTCAACTAACTGCGCGACCTTCCTGAACTTGAGCTTGTTGCACTTGGCCATGTGGATGCGCTCATGCTCTGCCCAATTCCTCTCAGCAGGAGAGGCGGACGTCCACATGTGCATCACACGGCCAGCGATCTCCTGCAAGTCCGGGAAGCATGAGCCGTGCTCCACCCACCATGACGCTCACCTGCTCGTCTCCTCGTCCCCTGCACAGGCCTCTGCCTTGGCGTCCCTCGTCAACATGTCCGTCGTGTGGCTGACCCTGGCGTGGAAGGATCGCATCTGCTCACGCACCCGCAAGTGTGCATCCCCCGCCGAATCACCGCCTGTCTGCGCCAAGAGAAATGAGCCGCACTCGGTAACGACCTCGAGGTCCGCAGCTGTCCTGCGGGCGGACTCGTAGTAACAGAGGGAGCGCCTGCGGGGGTTGAGCAAGTGCACCGCAGCGTGCGCCGGCTCAAGCATATGCATGGTGCAGTCTACACCGCCTCCACGCACGGCCTCCGAACGTCATCAGGGACGTCAACAGCAGCCACCTGTCCCACCAACTCCTGCGACCATGAGTAAATCATGGACATGATCATGCCGCCCCTGTCCAATCTCCTCAACAGCTGGTGGACAGGGGTCATGATAGAGATAGCATGTTGGACGTTGCGCCAGAAATCGACGCACCGGATGAGCCTGCCGAACCCAGAGAGCCTGTTTACGCTTCGACGACTCTCATGGGATCTTGTCCCACTCGTCGTCATGAAGTATGCTCTCCAAGGCGTTACACCTGGCGAGCAAACACACAAACATAAAAAAAACGGACGCGAATCGCGTCTCCACAGGGTGCACAAGCGTGCGGCGACGACTCTTCACCCTGAAAAGGTGATAAGCCACGCCGTGCGATTTAATGAATTGCTCCAACGCTCGATCTCTGACAATGGTCTCCGTAACCCAAGGAACCCCTGTGCCGATGTCTAACAACATCAAGTTGGCCACGTGGGTGGCACAGGGGAGCCAAGTGATACGGCGGATCTCCGGATCGGGGTCCTTTGCAGGGAGCTTTGCGGCGGACGTATAGTTCGACGCAGAGTCCGTGCAAATGACCAACACGTCCTTCGGAGGGAAAGACCGAAAAATGGCCTTCCATCTCCTGAGGACGATCCGTGCCATCTCGGCCACTGAACCGTCTCGCTGGACGGTGGCGTACAACAGGGCGCCGCGCTTGGAGGCCGCAAGGAAGTTGACGATAGGCCTCGCATCTCGCGATTGCCTAACGTCCGACAAAATGGTGGCCCCCACCGACTCGAACGAACCACGGACCTCCCTCAACATTGCCGCAACCTTCCCCCGCTGATCATCGATACCGCCGCCCCCAATGTCCTTGAAGGACGGATAGACAGGCCGCACTCCACGAGACATGGCGGCCAACGCCTTCTTGTGCCTATACCATGACTGCCTCCTGAAAGCAACAAAGGGTATACCACTATCGTAGACCCACTGCAAAAAGGTGTCCCTGAATGCGACCTGCCCATCTGGATCGTACACCTCATCCAGAGTGGACTGCCGCTGTCTCTTGTGCGCCTGCGGCACGCCCTCAACTCCACTGCCCACCACCCTCTTCCCCGCTGGGCCCGGTGCGTCCCCCTCGTGATGGTGAGCAGCACTGCTCCCTCGCGCAATCATGACCACCTCCTCCCCTGCCAAATCCGGTGCTACGCCTGTCCTTCCACCCTCCCTAGCTTATTCTCGCCTGGCCTGCTCATCCAGGAACTACTGTACCTCGTCCACATGATCTCGCTCCTGTGGTTGCGACTGCGACGCACCCGTCCTCCCCCTGCCACTGCCTCGATGGAGGTCCGTAGCACGTCTATCAGGGATATCGTGCTCCCTCATGTAAGCCTCGATACCGCGGAGATGTCGCTTGTCGAACTCGTAATCTGTGTGGTTCCAAATATCAACGAACACGTCCATCGTCGCCACCGCGCACCTCTTCAACTGCGTGAAGTGACGCTGTGCCTTGAATAAATTCCCCTGCCAGACATTCTTGCAATAATTGCAGCGCAACTTATAATCCCCATGCCCCTTCTCCCATGTTCCCAACCTCTGACCCTGCGTCACATGACGCCACACTCTCGACTTCCCTCGCAACTCGGCCATCTGTGCATCACTCGCAGGAACGAAGTCATTGCCCCCCGAACCGGCGGCACCACCCGTCATTTTGGACGTCCGTTAACCCCGTTTGCAAACCCCCCTCCAACCACACCCCCCCACCCCCCTAAACTAGACCCCCGAAGCAGCTCCTGAAACCCCGACGCAGCTGCTGAACCGCGCCCTATCAGAAAATGCACCCGCACGAAACCGCGGCCTCGGCCGCTGCCGCGCGGACGAGGTCAACGCCGCGCGGACGCATTCAACGCCGCGCGGACGAGGACGCGGGCGCAGACATGTCCGCGTGTGCGGCGACGTGGCCTCGTCGAGGTGTCGTGGTTGTCGCCGGTCGCGCGCCTCGCCGAACATGGCCGTGCCCCAGATATGCGCTCTGATTCTTGCAACACAACAATGAAAAAAAAAATGGCATTCTATTAATTAATCAATCAATCAATCAATCAATCAATCAATCAATCAAACAATCGATCAATCAATCAATCACATCAAGATCCAAGGATCTCGAAGACTTGAACCAATCTGTCTCTCCCTCTCTCTCTCCCCCCCCCCCACACACACACACAAACGAAAAAAACAACAAACAAAGAAACAAACAAACAAAACTTGAACCTTCAAACAATCAATCAATCACATCAAGATCCTAGGATCTTGAAGACTTGAACCAATCTGTCTCTCTCTCTCTCTCTCCCCCCCCCACACACACACACACAAACGAAAAAAACAACAAACAAAGAAACAAANATCTTGAAGACTTGAACCAATCTGTCTCTCTCTCTCTCTCTCCCCCCCCCACACACACACACAAACGAAAAAAACAACAAACAAAGAAACAAAAAAACAAAAAAAAGAAAAAAATAATAATAATAAAAAAAGAAAAAACAAGTTCATAGGATCAATCAATCAATCAATCAGTCAATCAATCAATCAATCAATCAATCAAATCAAATCAAGATCCTTGGATCTTGAACCAATCAAGATCCAAGATCTGGATTGATTGATTGATTGATTGATTGATTGATTGATTGATTGATTGATTGGTGGGTGCGCGCGCGCGCGCGCACACAC